CACAATCCCCCGACCTCAACCCAATTGGGATGTTTTGGGATGAGTCAGACCACAGAGAGAAGGAAAAGCAGCCAACAAGTGCTCAGCATACGTGGGAACTCCTTCAAGACTGTTGGAAAAGCATTCCAGGTGAAGCTGGTTGAGAGAGTGCCAAGAGTGTGCAAAGCTGTCATCAAGGCAAAGGGTGGCTTTTTGAAGAACCTGTTCATTTGTTTAATACTTTTTTGGTTACTACATGATTCCATATGTGTTATTTCATAGTTTTGATGTCTTCACTATTATTCTACAATGTAGAAAATAGTAAAAATAAAGAAAAACCCTTGAATGAGTAGGTGTGTCCAAACTTTTGCCTGGTGCTGTATACAGTGAGGGAAAAAAAGTATTTGATCCCCTGCTGATTTTGTATGTTTGCCCACTGACAAAGAAATGATCAGTCTATAATTTTAATGGTAGGTTTATTTGAACAGTGAGAGACAGAATAACAACAACAAAATCCAGAAAAACGCATGTCAAAAATTGTATCAATTGATTTGCATTTTAATGAGGGAAATAAGTATTTGACCCCCTCTCAATCAGAAAGATTTCTGGCTCCCAGGTGTCTTTTATACAGGTAACGAGCTGAGATTAGGAGCACACTCTTAAAGGGAGTGCTCCTAATCTCAGTTTGTTACCTGTATAAAAGACACCTGTCCACAGAAGCAATCAATCAATCAGATTCCAAACTCTCCACCATGGCCAAGACCAAAGAGCTCTCCAAGGATGTCAGGGACAAGATTGTAGACCTACACAAGGCTGGAATGGGCTACAAGACCACCACCAAGCAGCTTGGTGAGAAGGTGACAACAGTTGGTGCGATTATTCGCAAATGGAAGAAACACAAAATAACTGTCAATCTCCCTCGGCCTGGGGCTCAATGCAAGATCTCACCTTGTGGAGTTGCAATGATCATGAGAACGGTGAGGAATCAGCCCAGAACTACACGGGAGGATCTTGTCAATGATCTCAAGGCAGCTGGGACCATAGTCACCAAGAAAACAATTGGTAACACACTACGCCGTGAAGGACTGAAATCCTGCAGCACCCGCAAGGTACCCCTGCTCAAGAAAGCACATATACATGCCCGTCTGAAGTTTGCCAATGAACATCTGAATGATTCAGAGGAGAACTGGGTGAAAGTGTTGTGGTCAGATGAGACCAAAATGGAGGTCTTTGGCATCAACTCAACTCGCCGTGTTTGGAGGAGGAGGAATGCTGCCTATGACCCCAAGAACACCATCCCCACCGTCAAACATGGAGGTGGAAACATTATGCTTTGGGGGTGTTTTTCTGCTAAGGGGACAGGACAACTTCACCTCATCAAAGGGACGATGGACGGGGCCATGTACCGTCAAATCTTGGGTGAGAACCTCCTTCCCTCAGCCAGGGCATTGAAAATGGGTCGTGGATGGGTATTCCAGCATGACAATGACCCAAAACACATGGCCAAGGCAACAAAGGAGTGGCTCAAGAAGAAGCACATTAAGGTCCTGGAGTGGCCTAGCCAGTCTCCAGACCTTAATCCCATAGAAAATATGTGGAGGGAGCTGAAGGTTCGAGTTGCCAAATGTCAGCCTCGAAACCTTAATGACTTGGAGAAGATCTGCAAAGAGGAGTGGGACAAAATCCCTCCTGAGATGTGTGCAAACCTGGTGGCCAACTACAAGAAACGTCTGACCTCTGTGATTGCCAACAAGGGTTTTGCCACCAAGTACTAAGTCATGTTTTGCAGAGGGGTCAAATACTTATTTCCCTCATTAAAATGCAAATCAATTTATAACATTTTTGACATGCGTTTTTCTGGATTTTGTTGTTGTTGTTATTCTGTCTCTCACTGTTCAAATAAACCTACCATTAAAATTATAGACTGATCATTTCTTTGTCAGTGGGCAAACGTACAACATCAGCAGGGGATCAAATACTTTTTTCCCTCACTGTATATACACTGCTCAAAAAAATAAAGGGAACACTTCAACAACACAATGTAACTCCAAATCAATCACACTTCTGTGAAATCAAACTGTCCACTTAGGAAGCAACACTGACTGACAATAAATGTCACATGCTGTTGTGCAAATGGAATAGACAACAGGTGGAAATTATAGGCAATTAGCAAGACACCCCCAAAAAGAAGTGGTTCTGCAGGTGGTGACCACAGACCACTTCTCAGTTCCTATGCTTCCTGGCTGATGTTTTGGTCACTTTTGAATGCTGGCGGTGCTTTCACTCTAGTGGTAGCATGAGACGGAGTCTACAACCCACACAAGTGGCTCAGGTAGTGCAGCTCATCTAGGATGGCACATCAATGCGAGCTGTGGCAAGAGGTTTGCTGTGTCTGTCAGCGTAGTGTCCAGAGCATGGAGGCGCTACCAGGAGACAGGCCAGTACATCAGGAGACGTGGAGGAGGCCGTAGGAGGGCAACAACCCAGCAGCAGGACCGCTACCTCCGCCTTTGTGCAAGGAGGAGCAGGAGGAGCACTGCCAGAGCCCTGCAAAATGACCTCCAGCAGGCCACAAATGTGCATGTGTCTGCTCAAACGGTCAGAAACAGACTCCATGAGGGTAGTATGAGGGCCCGACGTCCACAGGTGGGGGTTGTGCTTACAGCCCAACACCGTGCAGGACGTTTGGCATTTGCCAGAGAACACCAAGATTGGCAAATTCGCCACTGGCACCCTGTGCTCTTCACAGATGAAAGCAGGTTCACACTGAGCACATGTGACAGAGGTGACAGAGTCTGGAGACGCCGTGGAGAACGTTCTGCTGCTTGCAACATCCTCCAGCATGACCGGTTTGGCGGTGGGTCAGTCATGGTGTGGGGTGGCATTTCTTTGGGGGGCCGTACAGCCCTCCATGTGCTCGCCAGAGGTAGCCTGACTGCCATTAGGTACCGAGATGAGATCCTCAGACCCCTTGTGAGACCATATGCTGGTGCGGTTGACCCTGGGTTCCTCCTAATGCAAGACAATGCTAGACCTCATGTGGCTGGAGTGTGTCAGCAGTTCCTGCAAGAGCAAGGCATTGATGCTATTGACTGGCCCGCCCGTTCCCCAGACCTGAATCCAATTGAGCACATCTGGGACATCATGTCTCGCTCCATCCACCAACGCCACGTTGCACCACAGACTGTCCAGGAGTTGGCGGATGCTTTAGTCCAGGTCTGGGAGGAGATCCCTCAGGAGACCATCCGCCACCTCATCAGGAGCATGCCCAGGCGTTGTAGGGAGGTCATACAGGCACGTGGAGGCCACACACACTACTGAGCCTCATTTTGACTTGTTTTAAGGAAATTACATCAAAGTTGGATCAGCCTGTAGTGTGGTTTTCCACTTTAATTTTGAGGGTGACTCCAAATCCAGACCTCCATGGGTTGATAAATTTGATTTCCATTGATAATTTGTGTGTGATTTTGTTGTCAGCACATTCAACTATGTAAAGAAAAAAGTATTTAATAAGATTATTTCATTCATTCAGATCTAGGATGTGTTGTTTAAGTGTTCCCTTTATTTTTTTGAGCAGTGTATATATACATAAACTCAGCAAAAAATGAAACGTCCCTTTTTCAGGACCCTGTCTTTCAAAGATAATTTGTAAAAATCCAAATAACTTCACAGATCTTCATTGTAAAGGGTTTAAACACTGTTGCCCATGCTTGTTCAATGAGCCATAAACAATTAATGAACAGGCACCTGTGGAACGGTCGTTAAGACACTAACAGCTTACAGACGGTAGGCAATTAAGGTCACAGTTATGAAAACTTAGGACACTAAAGAGGCCTTTCTACTGACTCTGAAAAACACCAAAAGAAAGATGCCCAGGGTCCCTGCTCATCTGCGTGAACGTGCCTTAAGCATGCTGCAAGGACGCATGAGGACTGCAGATGTGGCCAGGGCAATAAATTGCAATGAGACGCCTAAGACAGCGCTACAGGGAGACAGGATGGACAGCTGATCGTCCTTGCAGTGGCAGACCACATGTAACACCTGCACAGGATCGGTACATCTGAATATCACACCTGTGGGACAGGTACAGGATGGCAACAACAACTGCCCGAGTTACACCAGGAACGCACAATCCCTTCATCAGTGCTCAGACTGTCCGCAATAGGCTGAGAGAGGCTGGACTGAGGGCTTGTAGGCCTGTTGTAAGGCAGGTCCTCACCAGACATCACCGGCAACAACGTCGCCTATGGGCACAAACCCACCGTCACTGGACCAGACAGGACTGGCAAAAGTGCTCTTCACTGACGAGTCGCGGTTTTGTCTCACCAGGGGTGATGGTCGTATTCGCGTTTATCGTTGAAGGAATGAGCATTACACCGAGGCCTGTACTCTGGAGCGGGATCGGTTTGGAGGTGGAGGGTCCGTCATGGTCTGGGGCGGTTGTGTCACAGCATCATCGGACTGAGCTTGTTGTCATTGCAGGCATTCTCAACACTGTGCGTTAAAGGGAAGACATCCTCCTCCCTCATGTGGTACCCTTCCTGCAGGCTCATCCTGACATGACCCTCCAGCATGACAATGCCACCAGCCATACTGCTCGTTCTGTGCGTGATTTCCTGCAAGACAGGAATGTCAGTGTTCTGCCATGGCCAGCGAAGAGCCCGGATCTCAAATGCCATGAGCACGTCTGGGACCTGCTGGATCGGAGGGTGAGGGCTAGGGCCATTCCCCCCAGAAATGTCCGGGAACTTGCAGGTGCCTTGGTGGAAGAGTGGGGTAACATTTCACAGCGAGTCCATGAGATGCACTGCAGTACTTAATGCAGCTGGTGGCCACACCAGATACCCCCTTTGTTCATGGACACATTATTCAATTTCTGTTAGTCACATGTCTGTGGAACTTGTTCAGTTTATGTCTCAGTTGTTGAATCTTGTTATGTTCATACAAATATTTACACATGTTAAGTTTGCTGAAAATAAACGCAGTTGACGTGAGAGGACATTTCTTTTTTTGCTGAGTTTATATATAATAAACCACTCAACACACATATTTCTATGGACAGGAAAATCAGTACTAGTTTAGTAAGGGCATGGAGGACAAAATCAAGGATGCAAGATTAGTTAGGACTAGGAACGTTCTAATTTTGAGGTATAGTTGAAAATTCTTACATCATTGAAATTGAAATGCTTTCTTTTGAGGTGACACTAAATATGTTATAAAAACAAAAGTGCTGTGATGTTATTGGCAATACAAATTAGACCAGTTAGCAAAGCAAATTAATATGTTGGAAGCTTAAAAGAGAAAGTCATTCATTGTTATGATTACGTTCTAAAGAAGAGTGCATAACAAGTACAGAAAAAGCACAGCATAAATTATTCAATTTTTGAAAACTTTAATCAGTTTTTCTTTTTCTTAAACAAAAAAAGTATGTGGGTCAAAATAAATATAATATTTTGTCACAAGTGATGCAATGCCAGAAACAAACATATATTTTGGCTTTTGGGGTTTCTTTTTTGTTCCGTGTTGAAAAACATTAGCAATACATGATATTTTTTATTAAATTCGCTTTCAGTGTAACAATACATAATACAATTGCTTTATATTGCTTGCTCTTGTTGCAGTTTGTCTCTGCATTAGAGTGGCTGTGTGTGTCTGAGTCTGCAAGTGTACAGTATGTGTCTTTATGGGTACACATGCATGCAAGTTGGAGAATGTGTTAACATGTACAGTATATCTGCATTTTACAGTTGCTGAGTGGATGTGTGTGTCTGAGGGATATTTACCTGTTAACATACATGCATGGGTGTGTGCTGTATCAGTGCAGATGGTTATGAGTGTTCACACCACCATTCCCTGAAGCAGTGGGCTTCTTTCTCCTGGTGACTGTCGGATCAGAAGATTCCACAGCAGCATCGGCACAGACGTGATTCCAGAGCTGCCCATGCTGCCGCTTGTTGAGTCCTTCCTCAGTGGACGGTACTGCTTAAACCGCCTGGTTGGAAAACACAAGTTAGCTGGCATTCATTCTACAGTTTCAAAAAAAATAAGATTTGCATTATATTGTATAAGACCGCACATAATAATGGCATGGGATATTTTCTTTTTGGACCACTTTGTGTCAATACTTTTTGTGGATCATAAATCAATTTGGAGAAACCAGGAAGTGTGTGACTTTCATTGCATCATGCGACTTTTATGGTGGTTAGAACTGTCTTTCACTCACTTGTAGGTCAAAGCAATGGCACCAACAACACAGACAAGGACCATGACACCCAGAACCGCGGCCACAGTGCCTGCTGTGGAGGAGTTGGAGCCTGCAACCACAACACACAGTATGAGGAAGGTATGGTACAGTACACTCCACAGATCAGTGAAATTTAATATAAAACCGTTTTTTAAAGTTCATAAAGCTTTCTGTACAGTTGTTCGTTAATTTCACTCACCCACTGTCACACTGACTTTAGCACTGGCCACAGCCAGACTAACATCATTTGTCAGGGACACATTGATGCAGAACACTCCAGATTCGTTGAAAAACTGGCGAAGTATCATCTGACAATCTGGGGAGGGTGTCACGTTGTTACAAACGGTCTCCACAGGTGTGATGCAGTCTGCGTCCGAGATAATGGTGCACACTTCATTGGGCAGACTAAGCAAAGAGAAGGTGGAGATATAAAGTGCAGGGGATGGCAATGTTCAAAATGCAAATTTCAATAGAATGTGCACGGTCCCTTGGGTCCTGTCTCCACTGCTGGCTGGCTACTCACCTCCCCTGGCAGGTGATGGTCAGGTCCACAGCATTCTGTACCACCTCAGTGGCCAGAGACACCACGTTAGCCATCTGGGTGATCTCCACACTCTCAATACCCTCTGAGAAATTAGATTGATTGAGAGATCATTATCAGCAACCATCACCTGCATTGTACATCTCAGCTGCGACTGTATTGAAAATACATATACAGTATATGGACATATGTGTACTTACGAACGACATCCACTGAGGTCGAGAAGGAGCCGTAGCGGTAGATCATACAGTCGTCAGTCACTGTAAATTCCGGAACCTGCCTTTTAGCCACAACAAGAGCCACCTGTGTCTCTGTGCCTGCCTCTATCTCAGCCTCTGCTGCTACCTCACTCTCCACTGGAGCAGTCACTGCTGCTGGCGCTGAAGAAAACAAAGACACAGTAAGTTATTCATATTGTGAAATGGCTCAAATTATTGCTGAAGTGTTTTTGTTTATATATAGAATGAGTAAGTAACTAAGTAAGTGATCACCGGCAGTGTCGTCAGCTGCAACCTCATTCACAGTCTCTACGACCTCTGCCTCTAGCGCTGCCTCGGTCTCAAGAGCAGGTTCAGCTGGCACCACCTCCACCACAGCTGCAGCCTCTGTGTCGGCAGAAACAATGACGTTAGCAGCAGGGGCCACCATCTCAGCCTGGGCCACCTCTGTAGCAGCCGCAACCTCCACTCCAGTATCGGCAACTAAGGCCTCCTCCACCGTGGCAACAACGGTGTCTACGACTGGGATCTCTGGGAGGACTGTGGCCACCAGGTCCACTATGGCCTCCACTCCCTCTGCAACTGGAGCAACTGAAGCAGCAGCGTCGATGGCGGGCACATTTGCGGCTGTAGCCTCTACCACCGCGGTTTCAGCAGCTGCATCGGCCGAATCCGCAGCAGCTACCTCTTCAGTTGCTGGAGCGATGGGGGCAGTTGTGGCTCCCTCCACAGTGGCGGGGTCCTCAATGGCTGCAGCAGCCGTGTCTTCTGCTGTGGCATCGGCTTCTACTGCAGGGACAGCGGCATTGTCTTCTGTTGCCGAGACGACAGCTGGATCTTCTGCTGCTGGGACAACGGTGGCATCCTCTGCCACAGGGGCCACTGAGGCAACCACCTCCACTCCCTCTGAGGCGGTGCCTTCGGCTGCGGGTTCGGCTGTGGCATCGGCTGTGTCTGTGGTTTCGGCTGTGGCATCAGCTTCAGCTGCGGGTTCAGATGCGGCTGTCTCTTCGGCTGCGGCTGCATCATCGGCTACAACTGCTTCTGCAGCCTCAGCAGGGGCAACGTCAGAGGCGAGTAGATCCAGGGCGATGTCAGCTGGTGCTGCCCCTGGGGTGGAGACCACCACAACCACGGCAGGGGCGCCGGTCAAAACTGGTTGAAAACACAAAAACAAAGGCAACAAATGTAACTTACAACTGTTACGTATGTTATATGCACCGAATATGCATTGACTTTGGTAAAGGAAATATTGGATCAGATAAATGGATACGCTGTAAAATAGAAAATGATGTCTCTCACCAGTGGGGCTGGCAGCGGTGGGGTCTGCAGGTGTGTCACAGCCATTGGGGATGCTTGCCATCAGGACCACCTGAGGCCTGTAGGTGCCGGTGGTGAGGTACATGTGTGAGACCTGGCGCTCCCTGGAGATGAGGGTGCCGCTGTTGTCACCAAAGTCCCAGTTAAAGGTGACGTCTGAGGTGCTGAGGTACTGGCTGGGGTCGTGGAGGCTGATGCTGAAGGAAATGGCCCTGTTCTGGATGAATCTCTGGTCAGCCTGGTTCACATCATTAATTTGGGTCAGCGACACTGTGAAGGGGATCTGGTCTGGGGAGGCACAAGGCAAAGGCAAAACAGGTCAAGTTGATGTTGTGAAAGATTGTGAGAATAAATGCAAAATATTTCAAATGATCAATTGAAGTCAAATTAGGGTTGATTGATTTTCTGTTTAAAATAAGATTTTGTGCATTTAAATTTGGCAAGTGTTTCCTCTTGAACAGCTGCCCACCTGTGATGGAGAAGGTTGTGGAGGCATAGCCCAGAGGGATGAACTTGTCCTTGCCGCGGCAGTGGTAGATGACCACCTCCATGTTGTAAGAGCCTAGGGGCACATTGTCTGTGCCGATGGTGAGAGAGGAGGAGGGCCCGCCTGCCACCTGCCAGTAACGTCCTGGGATACAAAGCAGCAGTGGTTAGAAAACACAGCAACGGTTATAAAACTTAACTGAAAGGCCTGATGATCAAACCTTGAGTTGACAAAGCTCAGAAGAACAATAGCTGCTTTATTACTCCTTTCAACCCTCTTATCAAAGGAATGATTTCACAGTGTACACTGCGTACAGCTTTGTAAATACCAGAAAGCATTGGGTTATTGTGTTAGCACTTTCTCACATGAATGTCTGTAAATTAAAGAGCTGTTTTTACCCCATGTCTTCCACACAAACACGTAGTGGGGTTTCATGTCTGCGGTTCCAGTGAAGGGGGTGCCATCAGGGAAGACTCCACTGTACTCTCCTGAAGGACCAGAGACCTTGTCGGGGTACACAGCCTGGCCCTGACGGTACTGTGTTCCTGTAGGAGAAGAGGACCACACCCAGTTCAACATAAAAAGGTTAGGGACACTAGAAAAAGACTGTAGGCCTATACGACCAACAAAAAACTGTGGGGTCGATGGTATGGTATCGTTGTTGAATTTGAAAGGAGAGCTCACCATTGACAGTGCAGTTACGCGCCCACACCACCTGTCCATCAGGACGTGCTTTCTGGTTCGATGGGAAGCGAAGGTTGATGTTAAAGGTTGCCTTTGAGCCAGTCAGGATGGGTGCATCGTTTTTCACATTGAATGTAACTTCTCCACCTGGTGACAGAAAGTGATAAATACATCAATAGAAAGTGGTAAACGTTTCAATATACGTTCATTGGTCTATAAAAACGTGCAGTAAAGTGAGAACGCACCAGTCCAACAGTCTCTGTATCGGGAGTCCCCATCTTTCCACTCTGGATACATCCGTGAGTTCCATGAGCGGTAGCGTGTGAAACGTGTTTTAGGCTCTGAAAAAAGAAAGGGATGAAGTTTTAGGGTACTTCTTCTCCCATTCTCCTAATTGAAACAATGTTTTTGTTGATCACACTTTGACATATAGTGAACTACTTCTACTACATTCATATTAATCCTATTATTGAGGTTTTATAAGTTATGTAACATCTCCAGTGGCAGTGGGTTCCTAGTTCCCAGTTGACCATTGCACAATTAAATCTGGATGTAAATCTGAGGTTGAACATTTAATTTGATTAGGACTTTGCTATTGTCTAGACATTGGTCAGGAACAAGATCATGGCACCCAGAACTCATTACCTACCATGCTAATTAATTAGCATTTACTTTTATAATGTCCATTCGGTGAATGTCATGCACAAATCTACTACTCAGACCTGGAATCTTTATAACCCTGGCTCAAATGCTTATTGAAAATGTTGACACAATTTCTACTTTTCCTAAATCTATTTATCTCCAAACCTACAGTATCTGACCCTTCCTTACTGAAAATACAATCATAACTATTCCATTTTATGACCATATGATTATACGTTGAAGTGTTCTCTGCCCTGTTGCCTACCCAGGGTAGAGGAAAAGTTATCATCATAACGTTACAGTTTGGCATATGGGTGCAAGATGGGATGTGGACAAAGACATTTACCAACATTTTACTGAAAGAAGGATCAAAAATAGTTATTTGAGGGAGTAGTTAGCGGTGGTGGGTAGTTCAGGTATTTCATTGATGGTTGTGGAAGGGGGAGGAGTGAACGAGGTGGAGGTTCCAGGCGGTGTGAGTCACACGGCCCCTGCAATCCCTGTCAATCCCTTTCATGTGACTGTCAGTTGAGCACAGGCAGCCGTAATCCCAAATGCTGGAATGAGGGGAGCCTCTGTGGAGTTCAGACATCAGGGCAACCTTACTCTGCTACTGCTGTGCGTGTGTTTGTGTGTGCATGTCACACATGCAAGTGTGTGTGCGAGTGTGTGTTATATGACTGAAATCGGGATGATGTATCATAAGGTGCAAGTTCAGGATTTAGGAAACCGCAACAACTACATTATCTTCTGTTATTATGAGCCCCTTGTATTCCCATTGGCATAATACAGTCCTATCATACTCAGCTTCAACAATCTTAGGAATGCATCCTCTAAAATAACTAATTCATAATGACAAGCCTTAATATCGTTATCATGTGCAGTCATTAAATCAGATAGTCACACTTCAAACTAATTGCCAATGAAAAGACCGATATCTCCAACCAAGTTAACCAAGTTAATTACAGTTTGTGGTTTGGTTTGGATATCCATCAGATGCAACACATTGGTAGATAATACACTTTGAACCTCATGATTGATAGTGAAACACCAACTTTAGTACTAATGTTCCCTCAGGGAAAAATATAGTTATTCTATTCTATTGTTGAGAGCTGAGAATTTTAGGGTTTGGAGACCAAATTGGCATGTGATTGTGTTATTCTTGATTACAAGCATGTAATCTGTGGCCCACTCTGTCAGTAGTTATTAGACATGCTATTCTACTGTATATTACACAGTGGCTGAATTCTTGCTAATGTGAGATTAATGTAGACAAGGCACGCAAATGAGAGATTTTTTGGTCTACAGAATTTCACATTTGATTAATCACCAAATGTACTACCAAACTTAAGTGCATGATGAGCTCATATCAAAGCATAATGTGCATTTACTCAGGATTTTCTTTATGAAATTCTCCACACTTTAAAGCTGAACTGACCTGCACAAAATGATGGTGTTATTTATAAGATTATACTGGTATACTATGCTCTTTTGAAAATGTTGTAATTACAGACACTGGCAGTCCTGTAAATTCACCAGGTATTGAAACGTTTTGCTATATGCAGATATTTATAGAGTATATATGCAGTGTATTGAGGAGGCAGTAATGCATAGATTATTATTAATCCTGTTCAATGGCAATGCTCAACCTATAGCAAAATATGTAACACCATATTCCAAAGTTCAGGCTTTAGAGCTCAGTTTCTATAAAGACCCTCAGAATAAAGGAAACCATTAAAAAAACTAAGATCAAGATATTATATCACTTAACAATATGAGGGAGACCACTTACTCGCTTTTACTTACATTTGTTTTGCTTGTCCAAGTTCCATTAGTGTGTAAACAACCATACAATGAGTTGTTATTGTTTCTCAATAATATGATGATTGACAGATCCTCAGACAAGTTATATCATATGTATTGATTAGTCAAATGTAAGAGTTTTTGAAATACAAAACATGCAATTAGTTTATATAATGGGGAAATATAGAACAAACTTTTCACTACTAAAAGGGATTGTTTGCAGAAATGTCATTGCTCAGTGAGTATCTCTTCCATTATTTCAATTAATCCTACCTCAGCCCCATCTCCCCTCCAACACTGCACATAACTCAAGAAAGAGGGGATGGAGCAACCAGTGTTTTATCAAATAGTCATTTAGAAAGTAATACATATATACTCACTTGCTTCTAAAGCTGCTGATGAGATAGCCAACACCAGTACCGCCAGTAAAGTCCTCATTGTGCGTGGTTGTGTGTCCTTCTTTCTCTGCCCAGTTCCTAACCCTCGTCCTAGTCTTAAAAACCCAACAACACACCTCCCAGAGAGACTTGTGGTAGGATTTCTGATTCCCTATAAGAGAGTCGGACCCTTAATTACCATAAACTTGCCTCTCACCCCTGATCATAGAGGAGGCTACAAACCAGCCCCCTCCCACTATAATCAACTGTGTGAATAGACAGACACACTTTGTTAGCAATGCTACTATGTTTTCGAATGTTTTATTGGATAATTACAGTAGCTAAAAGGATTAACCTTAACGTAGTGTTACCATCAATACAGAAAACATATTTCCACATGTCAGACTGTATTTAAAAAAAGCATCAGTAATGCTATCTTTGCACTGGATAAAGATGAGGCATAAAACTCTTTCATTTATTTTGAAGAACTGAGGAAATTATCCGATTTCGGACATATAATTTTCTCCAACAAGTACAGAATGATAGTTTTCCCATTTTCATAAGACAGTGGGAACCTTATGGAATTAGTGGCCTAGTGGTTGTGATAGAAAAACGCTAAAATCTAACTTTATTGGTCGCCTACACAGATTTGCAGATTTTACATTTTGGTAATTTAGCAGACGCTCTTATCCAGAGCGACTTACAGGAGCAATTAGGGTTAAGGGCACGCCCTTGCTCAAGGGCACGTCGACAGATTTTTCACCTATTAGGCTTGGGCATTCGAACCAGCGACCTTTCAGTTATTGGCCCAACGCTCTTAACCGCTAGGCTACCAGATGTTATCGCAGTTGCAGCAAAATGCTTTCTAGCTCCAACAGCGCAGTAACATCTAGCAATACAATACATACATAATCCAAAAAGTTACAAAATATCAGTAATATCAGAACGAGCAATGTCAAAGTCCAGACTATAAATAGAAATAGAAATGGTGTGTATTGACAGTATGGACAGTTTATGAATAGAAAATATGTGTACAGCAGTAGTTATATAGGATGAGCCATGACTAGAATACAGTATATACATATAAAGTGGGTAAAAAAGTGTATTGGTCCTGGCTTTGATACACCTGTACGGTCTCCGTCTACTAGATGGTAGCAGGGTGAACAGGCCGTGGCTCGGGTGGCTAAGGTCCTTGATGATCTTCTAGGCCTTCCTATGACACCGGGTGCTGTAGATGTCCTGGAGGGCAGGGTGTGTGCCCCTGGTGATGCTTTGGGCTGACCGCACCACCCCCTGTAGAGCACAGGAGGTTGGTGGCACCTTAATTGGGGGAGGACGGGCTCATAGTAATGGCTGGAACGGAATAAATGGAATGGTATTGAACTCATCACACACATGGTTTCCATGTGTTTGATACCATCCCATTCACTCCATTCCAGCCATTATTATGAGCCATCCTCCCCTCAGCAGCCTCATGCGCTGAAGAGCCATGCGGTTGTGGGCGGTGCAGTTGCCGTACCAGGCGGTGATGCAGCCCGACAGAATACTGTTGATGTTGCATCTGTAGAAGTTCGTGAGGGTCTTGCCGAATTTCTTCTGCTGAGGTTGAAGAGGCACTGTTGCACCTTATTCACCATGGTGTCAGTGTGGTGGGACCATTTCAGGTCCTTGGTGATGTGCACGTCAAGGAACTTGAAGCTTTTGACCCTCTCCACTGTGGCCCCGTCGATGCTCTCTCTGCTGTTGTAGGCTCGGGCCTAATTTATGTGTTCTCTGTCACCTGTAGCAGCATGGAAAATGGTCCATGAACGAAAGGACAATGCCTTCCCCCTCTGAGGGGCCAAAATGCATCTCTCTGTTATAGTATCCAGAGGACTGACTATTGAGTGTGATAGAATAATACTATATTATCCATGTTTGGTATCTATCTGAAACTTGTTCACTGAGGATAACTCTGATGCTATCTATATGGATGTATGATCTCTGTGGTGACTTGTATCTTTACAGGGTGAACTCTAAATTACTCTCAAGGAGGTTCTATTGTCCTCTCAGGAATTCTGTCTAATTTACAGTGGTCTCATCCCCCATCCCCCCCCTGTGGAGATTGGGCCTTTCTGGTCTGGTTACACTGTAAACTTGGTATAGTTTGATTGGTCAAAGGTAGTTGGTTTTGGGTTGAAAGATTACACCTTCAGATGTTATAAATGGAATTAAATGCCTTGTTCTCTCTCTTATCCTGTATCCAGCAATGGAGGAAGGTTGTATGATCAATTCTCATTTCTTAGGTCTGGCCTAGTAAGCGTCTTTGTTCATGCTTTGTCTTCTAAGTTAACCTTAGGATCTATATGCCTAGAAGTATGGTTTGTAATGCTTGTTAATACTTATAACTTAAGCTTTATGCCTCCATTCATTGTACAATGTTATTAAATACAGTGGGGAAAAAAAGTATTTAGTCAGCCACCAATTGTGCAAGTTCTCCCACTTAAAAAGATGAGAGAGGCCTGTAATTTTCATCATAGGTACACGTCAACTATGACAGACAAAATGAGAAAAAAAAATCCAGAAAATCACATTGTAGGATTTTTAATGAATTTATTTGCAAATTATGGTGGAAAATAAGTATTTGGTCAATAACAAAAGTTTCTCAATACTTTGTTATATACCCTTTGTTGGCAATGACACAGGTCAAACGTTTTCTGTAAGTCTTCACAAGGTTTTCACACACTGTTGCTGGCATTTTGGCCCATTCCTCCATGCAGATCTCCTCTAGAGCAGTGATGTTTTGGGGCTGTCGCTGGGCAACACGGACTTTCAACTCCCTCCAAAGATTTTCTATGGGGTTAAGATCTGGAGACTGGCTAGGCCACTCCAGGACCTTGAAAAAATCCAGAAAATCACATTGTAGGAATTTTAATGAATTTATTTGCAAATTATGGTGGAAAATAAGTATTTGGTCACCTACAAACAAGCAAGATTTCTGGCTCTCACAGACCTGTAACTTCTTCTTTAAGAGGCTCCTCTGTCCTTCACTCGTTACCTGTATTAATGGCACCTGTTTGAACTTGTTATCAGTATAAAAGACACCTGTCCACAACCTCAAACAGTTACACTCCAAACTCCACTATGGCCAAGACCAAAGAGCTGTCAAAGGACACCAGAAACAAAATTGTAGACCTGAACCAGGCTGGGAAGACTGAATCTGCAATAGGTAAGCAGCTTGGTTTGAAGAAATCAACTGTGGGAGCAATTATTAGGAAATGGAAGACATACACTGATAATCTCCCTCGATCTGGGGCTCCACGCAAGATCTCACCCCGTGGGGTCAAAATGATCACAAGAACGGTGAGCAAAAATCCCAGAACCACACGGGGGGACCTAGTGAATGACCTGCAGAGAGCTGGGACCAAAGTAACAAAGCCTACCATCAGTAACACACTACGCCGCCAGGGACTCAAATCCTGCAGTGCCAGACGTGTCCCCCTGCTTAAGCTAGTACATGTCCAGGCATGTCTGAAGTTTGCTAGAGTGCATTTGGATGATCCAGAAGAGGATTGGGAGAATGTCATATGGTCAGATGAAAACAAAATAGAACTTTTTGGTAAAAACTCAACTTGTCGTGTTTGGAGGACAAAGAATGCTGAGTTGCATCCAAAGAACACCATACCTACTGTGAAGCATGGGGGTGGAAACATCATGCTTTGGGGCTGTTTTTCTGCAAAGGGACCAGGACGACTGATCCGTGTAAAGGAAAGAATGAATGGGGCCATGTATCGTGAGATTTTGAGTGAAAACCTTCCATCAGCAAGGGCATTGAAGATGAAACGTGGCTGGGTCTTTCAGCATGACAATGATCCCAAACACACCGCCCGGGCAACGAAGGAGTGGCTTCGTAAGAAGCATTTCAAGGTCCTGGAGTGGCCTAGCCAGTCTCCAGATCTCAACCCCATAGAAAATCTTTGGAGGGAGTTGAAAGTGTGTGTTGCCCAGCGACAGCCCCAAAACATCACTGCTCTAGAGGAGATCTGCATGGAGGAAAGGGCCAAAATACCAGCAACAGTGTATGAAAACCTTGTGAAGACTTACAGAAAACGTTTGACCTGTGTCATTGCCAACAAAGGGTATATAACAAAGTATTGAGAAACTTTTGTTATTGACCAAATACTTATTTTCCACCATAATTTGCAAATAAATTCATAAAAAATCCTACATTTTTTTTTCTCATTTTGTCTGTCATAGTTGACGTGTACCTATGATGAAAATTACAGGCCTCTCTCATCTTTTTAAGTGGGAGAACTTGCACAATTGGTGGCTGACTAAATACTTTTTTCCCCCACTGTATCTGCCTTTGATATAGAGAATTCTTGCTAGTCAATGTCAACTCATTGCCTAATGCTTGAGAGTATATTTTATTATCTTTATGGAGTCAGATAAACATTTTAATAGGCTAATTGCTTAGTCTTATTACAAGTCACATGCAAGGTATCTATAATATCATATATACTGTATATACACATGTAAAATATTACTACCCACTACACTATCTCCTATAGTCCACGATCAGAGAGGGAGGAGATGTGAGGTTCTGGTCAGGCTTAGGCGGCGAGCAAACCATCCACCACTTCCGAGTATTGTACTCGCTAACATTCAGTCCCTGGACAATATAGTAGACGAGCTCAGGGCGAGGATCTCCTTTCAGAGAGACAAAAGGGACTGTAACAAACTCTGTTTGACGAAATCATGAATCTCTGCAGATATAATGTCCCCGTCCATACAGCCAGCGGGGTTCTCCATACATTGCGCGGACAGAAAGAAAGAACTCTCCGGGAAAAACAAAAGTGGAGGGGTATGTCTCATGATTAACAACTCATGGTGTGATTGTGGTAACGTACAGCAACTCAAGTCCTTTTGTTATCCCGATCTGGAATACTTCACCATCAAATTTCAACCGCATTACCTCCTGAGATAATTGTCTTTGGTTATTGTCACTGCCATGTATATTCCACACCAAACCAACACTGTGACGGCTTTAAAGGAACTACACTGGACTTTGTGCAAACTGTAAACCGCATATCTTGAGGCCGCATTTACTGTACCTGGGGACTTTAAAAAAGGAAATCTCGAAATTCTACCAACACATCTCCTGTGCTACACGCGG